CGATAACATCACCTCCACCAGATACAAGGCAGGTTGGGTCCATGGATTAATAATGTTGGTGAAAATTCTGACCCTACCATCTGTGTGCCACAAAAACTGAGATTCATCAGACCAGACTATGTTTTTCCAGTCTTCAGATGTCCAGTTTTGGTGAACCAGTGCCAACTGCAGCATCAGCTTTCTGTTCTTGGCTGACAGAAGTGGAACGCGAAACGGTCCTCTGCTGTTGTAGCCCATCCGCCTCTAGGTTTGACATGTTTTGATGTTGTTCTGAGATGCTTTTCTGCTTACCACAATTGTACATAGTGGTTATCTGAGTTACTGTAGCCTTTCTGTCAGCTCAAACCAGTCTGGCCATTTTACCTGAACCTCTCTCATCAATAAGATTTGAGATTTTAGCAAGGTGATGACAATTGCTCTGGCAGTGCCTGCTTTTATATGTCTTTTAGTGATATTGTGGAAAGACGAATTAGCAACTATAGCATCATATAAATCAAAAGCATGAAACTCCTGTTCTAAAAGAACACAGCACTATATGGTTTATCACTTTCTTTGCATTAGACCACTTGATTCACTAAGCCTTTATGAGCCAGATCAGGTGTGTTAGGGCCCTCCAAGCTACACTTGTACAGCACTGAATGAAGTAATAAGTTGTAGAAGGGCATGATCTTTAACCCCTTAAATGGCCAAAGCCTGTCAGAAGCCCAAAGTTTTATTACACACTTCTATAACCTAAGAATAGCTCAGCTAGTTTGCACTAAAGTCCCTGTAGTTACTGAATAAAAAGCCTTAGTATGTAATAAGCCTGGGACTGGGGCTAAACAACGCTTATTTACATTTTCATCAGTTTGCCTTTTCCCTTGAGGTCCAATTATTATGTTTGTATGTTTCTTTGTACCAAAAACAGTTATTTTTATATGACCAATATCCAACCACTCTTTTTCCCTTTGCAACTAAACTGGCTGTTTTTGTTTCTGTGCCTTTAATACTGATGTACGTAAATGACCTCTTTTCAAATTGGCCAACCTGTATTGTGCATCATTCAGAAAGCTGTCTAAGCTGAAGCACTCCTTATCATTTCAACGTGGGTGAGGCTAAACAGCTGTAGACAAAATAGGCAGTTTTCATATTTTCTATGATATGAGCCCTATGCTTCTGTATTAGTGTTGGCAACTGTTTCACTATTACAGGAGATTATATTGAATTTGGATAGCAGCCCAAATCCATCAGTGCTCTTTGCAGGGACAGTTAAACCATTAGTCTGACAAAAACTGCCCTATTGAAACTATTACCAGTGGCCAATGAAATAGAAATTATTCCATTTAACTTTACACATTTTTTTTTTTTTTTTACTATTTTTGTAATGTAAGATCGTTGTTATCTTCTATTTCATACCACACTTCAACTCTGTTTTCATTGAATATGTTTTAGTTAAATGCATTTTCTTTCATGGAGACTGAAAGGAAGTCTGCTCTGTATTGTCACCATGTCTTTCCCACAGCTCTAAGAACCAATTCAGTTCAGTTCCTCAGGGGCCAAATCCACTCTTCTGACAAATTCTCCCACCAAAAGTTGAGATTTGATCTAAAACGTATCCAGCATAACCTCTGTTGTGAGACCGGCGTGCTTCGGCACAGTGAAGAATAAAATGTATCATATAATATTGACATGTGTTTCCACTCTGTGTTGAGTTTTGAGAATGGTTTCATTTGAGACTGCATATGGGGTTAGAGGCAAGTGAACTGCAGTATCTAATTCAGTGGGTCTCACTGGCATGCTGCCAAGTATGGGATATCTCTTTGAGCATAACCGGAGTAGTAAAGGCTAACTTTGTGGCAAACTTGGAAAACTCACAGTGTATATAGATTATAGTGTAAACCTGCATATTAGCAAGATGTGGAGGTCCCAGTGAAGATGTACAGTACTGCACAGCCTTGCTTTCTGTGTGAGGATCTGTGTTATGGATATGGTTTATCTAATTAGCTTTGCCTCATTTTCTCTTTACAAGAAACTTTGAAATGACTTGTACCCTCCACCTAATAACTATGACTCTAATTTTGAAGCTACCTTTTCAGGCTAATTTTGAAGCATTTTTCACAATGTACTGAAGATCCACATGATCTGTCTTTATCCATCACATTATATTGCTATTAGCATATATAGAACTAAACACTGTATGTCCAAAATGGTAACTGCAGGTGAAAGAAATAGTCCTTACCTTTTAATGCAAGTTTATACAGCCTGATTTTATTCCACTATTTTGTTATAATTTAGAACTGTTCCACTGATCAAAAGTTTTGTTCTGAATGTGACAATATATACAGTACTGTACATATTGTCACGCTCAGTTATGTTTAAAGCACCTGAGAAAATTAAAATTAAAAAGCTGTTTATCTGGACAGAAGGCTCAGAAAAACACTAATATTGGAATAAACACAAATAACACTAACAAACTGTAGTGATTTTATGTCTGTCAATGTGTGTCTTTTATTTGTAGTTGATCCAACACCTGGTTTGGCTCTTCAGTACTTCAATCGAGTGTGCTGTTGATGGAATTCAACAAATCCATGTGATGGCTGGGGGCATCCAGGAGAAATCTGGGATGAAATCTTGTTCTTTTAAATAGCTCAGAAGATATCAGCTACTTATTGGAAAATAAGAAATTCTTGTTTATTTGTATCTGTTCTAACGTATATATGTGTTTGTGTTACACATATTAAATACATAACACAAACACACATGCACATAGTGGCATTCCAAAGACAAAAGAGACTACATCATTGAAAATCTGGGATAATTCTCATTTAAACTTGGAAACAAACACAACATTTTAGAATTTTGAACAATTTAAAACATAGCAAGGTTATGACAACTAAAATGAAAAAGAAATATTCAAAATTCTGCACTATTTCTAGGTCACTATTCGCATTTAAGTACATTTATGACATGTTTAAAAGATTTATTTTATTTATTTATTTTATTTTATTATTTTTTTGAAGTCATCTCTTTCAGTGAAGAATGTGTTCAGATGACTCTCTGGAGTATCTGATCCAGTCATCAGAGGCTTTTGCACTTGTGGAGTCCATGGCATATCAAGTGCACATTGTCATTAAAGCAAAGGGACATGTCCAATACCAAGAAATTCTGAATAAAATTCATGTTAAAATGTCAAGAATTCTACTTCTTATTTAAATTTGTTGTTGATAATAGAATTTGTAATGAAAATCTTTCTATAACGTTAGAAAGGAATGCAAACAAGAAGCATTTCTGCCATTGGTCTCAGATTTTTAGACCTCACTATATATATGTATACTGGGCAGGTATTATTTGGCTGGTGGATCATTCTCAGCACTACAGTGACATTGGCGTCACTGACATGGTGGTGATTAGGGCCCTGCAATATGACAGCATTTATCATTATTGTGATTAATTATGTCACAGTATATCACAATACCATGCATGTCGTCAGTACTCAAAAAACACTTTCCAACTCTATGTTTAGTTACAAAAAGACCATAAGTAAAGCAATTCAGTTGCTGTTTGTGATCCTCCACACTAATACCACTAACACGCTGCACCACGTTGGTGTCACTGCAGTGCTGAGATGATCCACCATTCTGCTTAGAGTGGTCCTGTGGAAGTCGTGAGCATTGATGAAAGGGGTAAAAAATAGATGGACCACAAACTATAATTGTAGAACCACAAAATGAACCTCTAGGGTAAGTGGACCTTGAGTGTAGATACAAGATAGGAATAGCTAATGAAGGGACCAGTGAGTGTACATTTACTATATTATTACTTTAATTCCACAGACATGCATTAGAGTGCACAAGCAATGAAAGCAGCTGATTTTGAAGTGGTTTTGGATAATAGCTTGTCAGATGACAATAATATAGTTGCTTTTAAAAAAAAGGATGAGTGAAATTTGAAAAAATATGGAAAAAAATGACAAAAAAAAGTGTGATGTAGGAGTAAAAATAGCCTTTGTCTCTTCAAGGATGCTGTTATTGTTGGAATCTATTTACGAGCCAATACGCCTTAAAGTCTCCACATAAAATGATAGCATGTCAAATCAATCCATGGACTACTTGTATAGCGAAAAGTCATTGTAATGCATATCCAATGCTGCAGTGTAATGCACCATTCTTTCCCTTTCTTTCTTTCTCCCTCCATTGTCCTTGTTAAAATCATATGAAATGCATGGCATAAATGGTGGAACTAACTCGATTATGAAAATCCTCTCTGCTGTATTGGTAATGGCTTGTGGTGACTGGGGAATAAAAGCTGTTAGCCAGACGTGTGTGTGTGTGTGTGTGTGTGTGTGTGTGTGTGTGTGTGTGTGTGTGTGTGCGCGCATGCATGCGTATGTGTGTAATAGAACCTACCAGGCTTCCCTGCTACTGTCTGCTGTAATATAAATCCCTCTTGCACTTAGTATTCATCCATTTTTAATGAAGTGCCTCAGCTGTGTGTGTGTGTGTGTGTGTGTGTATGTGTGTGTTTGTGTGTGACAGGAGAGGAGGGGGATGAGCAGTTTTGAAGGTGTGGCAGGCCTAGTGAGGAAGAAAGTGAGAGAAACCGCAGAACAGTGCCCTCTGCCCTTGTGGCCCATCTCTTGTGAAAGGAGCTGGAGTTATGAGTTGACATCACTCTCCTGGGTGGTGTAAAGTTAGGCACTCGACTTCAAAAAAAAGCTCACTGCGAAAAAGGAGCAGCCATACTCGGGGGCCCGAGCGTTCTTTTGTAGGCGGCCTTTCAAAACAAACGAGCAGCAAAGCCTGAGGCCTACTGTAGCTGCTCTTTCCATGAGCTGAAATTGTGAGACCACATGGCACTGCAGCACACGATACAGACCAACAGGCCATCTACTGACAAAAGCCAACAGTGATTCACTACAATCATCAAAAAAAACAACAAAAAAAGGCAACTGGCACTGTTCTGCTCTACTCCATAGTGGGTGTATGTATCATACACATATAGAACACCATGAATGCATGAAGTAAAATATTTGATAAGCTGTTTATTTCTCTATGGAATTTCATTTTGTTTATCTCTGCACAGCAGCTTACAGGGAATTGTGACAAAATATAAATAACAAAATTCAACAGTGTTTTCTTTTTTTCCTCTTTTAATTTAATTACAAACCTCAGTTAAAAGTGGCAAATTGTCTAAAGTCTTCAACATATTCCATTCTCTCGTTCACTCGCCAAGAATGTAACATTGAACAACTTAAAAAAGTATGATATTGTCATTATATACAGCCATCATCTATTGGCAAACAATGCTAAGAGCTTATTGGAATTCCACTTCCATGTGTAGAATGCAATGAAAGAAAAATACAATTATGTTATACAAAGATCAAAAATACTATTAAAAACCCTTATTATAAATGGCAGCGCTATATTAATAAACTGCTGTTGACATTTTACATGTAAGTACAAAATCCTGTTGAGGTAGTACCCTCTGAAGTCACTTTTAAATGTTAAAATACTGAATAGACATCACTCAACTTTTTGCTTTTATTTACAATACAGCAAATCTATGTTCTTTACTTCATTAAAATTGAATTCCTTTGGTAAACGTAATGGTCAGAGACGTGCAGTCCTGCAAGTGTCAATTGTACATTCACAACATTGTTGCATCTTTTTTTTTCTTTTTTTGGGATTCATTATTTATTCATTTTTTACATAATGCAAAAAGGGGCAAATGCATTGTTTTACAAAAAAAAGCTTTGTTTTATTAAGAACATTCATTAGTGCTGTTCCACCACTGACCCTTTTTAAGAGAGTTATCAGACTGCATTCTTTTATAACCCACCCACTGTTTCCCCACAGCTAGCTTGTCATGCTTTTTTTTGTTGGGGTGTCAAGTTTGAGAGAAGGGCAGATCCAGAGGTACCCATAAGACATGTTCTCCAGTGTGTGTTCCCCTCGCTCGGGGTGTAAACATTAGAAGGGCACCTTGTATTGGCCTCATAAAGACATCTATCTCAAAAAGAGTCTGGCTGAAAAGAATAGTCGACGCTGTCAGTACAGGGCTCTGAAATGGGCTAATTTGGCTGGGCATCTATTGATTATGAAGTTATGCTGAGTACATGTACGTGCAACAGAGACCCCATTGTGTTTTTGCTCAGTGTTTCTGTGCGGTTTTTTTTTCCCTCCTTGCCCATATTAAATGTCAGCCTGGGTGGGAAGGAAAGCGTGTGGTGGATTGTGGGAAGAAAGGAACGGGGCCACATCATCGAGCACAGCAAGCGCACTTCAGCTTCGCTCAGAAAACTTCAGTAGGCTATGGAAGGGCCTGGAAAACGGGACACATTCTCAAGCTCGCTTCATGGCAAACAGAACTTTGGTTTGAAAGACGACACGAGGCGTAAGCTTGGCTTACACTAAAGAAAACAAACAAACAAACAAAAATAGTCGAGGCTGACAGAAGAGCAGCTCCTCTGATGTTTACGCCAACATTCATGTTCGCCCATAGAAACAAACAAACGAAAAAAAAAACGTCACTCACAAACGTGATTGAATATGAACTGTGAATCTCAACTAATAAACATCTAAAAACTAACGCGTGAAAAAAGGGAAAATATCATTCTTTTTATGAATAAAGTATACAATAAACTATGGAAATAAAGCATCTATAAAAATATAAAAGATTTTTTTTTTTCTTAAACAGAAAACATTGATATCTTATTTGTTTAATAAATCCTGTAGGCTAGCAGGTAAGACTCAGTCGGAACAGTCATCTGAAGAAGAAGAAGGAGGAGAAGAAGAAGAAGGAGAGACAATAAAACGTTCAGTGCAATACATGGAGGTTGTGTATACTGAAGACGGCTCTCTCAGAAGAGTTTCACGCGCTTACCCCCCACCGCCCTCCCTCCCTTCAGCGCCCTCTGCGCGGGCTGCTCCTTGGACAGCGGGCAGTACTTGATGGTGTGTGCGTTGTCGCCGTTGGCGCTGCACAGCGGGCAGGTGTACGCGCGCAGGATGGGACACACCACGCGGCCCTCGGGCGTCTTCAGCACGTGCGAGCCGTACACCTCCTCGGGCGCGCCGTTATTCCGACAGAACACGCAGATCTTGGGCTCCTGCTTGGCGCGCGCCGCAGGTCTCCTCGCCTTGCGCTCGGCGCCGAACAGCTCGAGTCCCGCGAGGCCGCCGCCACCCCCGCCTCCGCCTCCACCGAACGCCGCGTCCCGCTCCAGCCGCGCACCGAACGGGCTCAGCACGGAGAAGCGCTCCTTGAGCTCGAGCAGAGAGGCGGGCGGCGGGCTGGCGGGCGCGCAGCAGCAGCAGCAGCAGCAGTCCGGCTGGGCGCACGCGCACGGCGCCGGGTCGTCCAGGCCCAGCGTGGCCTTCAGCGACTCCGTGATGGAGTTGGGTCCCGCGGGCGCGCCGCGCTTGCTGTTGCTCTTGGTCACCAGCGTGGACAGGCCCAGGTAGTCGTTCCAGAAATTGAAGGTGTAGTCGTACGAGGCGCGCGCGCTCAAGTAGTTGTGGTTTAAAAAATCCATTTTCTTCTCTTTCTCTTTCTTTCTATCTCACTCACTCTCTCCCTCTCTCTCTTTTCTCCAGCGATGATGCTTCTCTTTTGGAATGAAAATGGCACAGTATTCCGTCAAAGTATCTATGCGTCAGGAATCGAGCGCAGTCAAGTCCAGTGCTCGTGTTGTGTTGGGTCTCTGGGACTGGCCAGCAGGCGTGTGGTTATAAGGCTACAGCAGGAGCAGCGCGCGGAGAGGGCGGGGCTCCAGTCTCTGTCTCTCTCTCTCTGTCTCTCTCTCTCTCTCTCTCTCTCTCTCTCTCTCTCCCTCCCTCTCTCTCTCTCTCTCTCTCTCTCTCTCTCTCTCTCTCTCTCTAAACCAAGTTTTCGAGCGAGCGTGCCTTCTCCACTTCTCAGTCAGATCCGTAACGCGAAACGAGCAGAACGGCCACTGTGGTCATTACGGCTATGCTGAAGAGCCATAAAGTGCGTTAGTGCACGTGGACGACGCAAACAACAACTAAGAGCTGGCGTCCACAGTCACCCAACGCTCCTCTTCTTCATGCACTTCACGTACGAAGCGCAACAGGACCGTGCCTGAATTCTTCGCTAGGCGGCCCCGCCCACTTTAGCTCGCGCTGTTCGTTTCCTCTCCAGCAAAAGCGATTCGTCGCACTTTTCCTTTGAGAGCAACTATAAACGCTCGTAAAACGTGGTTATAGCCTACATTTGTGCGTGCGCTCGGCTCTTTGTTCTGCAGTCCAGCTGCTTCAGTTCACTCATGATAAACGTGTGATAAGCCCTAAACAGCACCTTCCATTACTTTTCCTTTGCCATAAGCTTGGTAATAAAAACCTGCTCTCGTTTCGGTCAGTCGTCTTTATGCCAACCAAAGGCTCGTGACAGCAGTCACCGAAGCAGCAGCAGCACCTGATAGTGATGCTTTAGGGTCGTCCGCGAGCTCCCAGCGCTTTTCACTGCAGCGAGGCAATTAGTCGAGGCCCGAGATGCTGTATCTTTTAGAGTAGAATGGCTTAAAGCTCGGATGTCAGTAGATTTGCACGGATCCCGCAGTTCTTTTCTGGTGTTCCCGCTGTGGCCTTGGCTCCGAGTGAAAGGCTGCAGTGCTAGAGGGGCATTGTTCTACAAGCTCCTGGCTCACTCCGAGCAAACTGAGCTGCCCTGGATCCAGATCTCCCTCTTTCTCTCCCTCACTCTCCAAAGAGTCCCTGGCCCAAGTCCTGGAGCCACAGAAAAGACTTGTAATGAGTGTCTCGCCAGATTAAGTCATCTCTCTGTAAACAAAAGGCTTATTTGCATTTTTGTCCTTCGTTCAAGACACCAAGAGGAGAGGCGGGTGGGTGAACGAGGGCACAGGTGCAGGCCAGCTGATCGCTACAGGCAGCAGACACTGAAGATTCGACCCCCTACCGTAACACGTGAGCAGTATCATACTCAGGAGAGCTTTGTTTTCTATATCGTGATGGATATTAATGTTTAATGCATCTGTAAGCATGCTCAAGTGGAGTTTTTCTTCCTCGTGGTCCATAGAAAGAAGGTAGGATGACTGCAGTACCACGGTTCCACCACCTGGGGTCTGTGTGAGCTCAGTAGAACAGATTTGGGATGACGTCATTGGGTATCCTGAAAGGCACAAGTTTACATAATAACAGATGTCTAAGAACAATTCTGCACAAACACACGCCAGGGTTTGCCATTGGTGAAACATTTTGCTCAGTTTTTACATATAAATTATATAGTGAGCAATAGAAGCAATGCATAAATCTGCATCTTGACTTTTAAATTCAGTTATTAGTCTTAAGACTTATGTTTCAGTTATGATTATTCTGTACTTAAAAATGAATATATAGGTTGTTTTGCAGGCATAACTAAGTAATATAGTTATAAAAGCGAGTATCTAGAATGTGCACCAAGTGGATATAGGACTAGTTTCCAGAACAAGGATTAAGCATAGTCTTTGACTAAGCAACACTGCCATTAGTGAATCACCACTGGAAATTCTTTTCAGTGCAGGCTTAGGTTTAATATGGGTCTGGGAAACTGGCTGCTAGAGGCTAGAGTTTAAGAGGTAAAAATAGACTCACTTCAGGTCAGCTAATGGAGATTTTTAGTAGGGCTAAAAGGCTCTGTATTGGAAAATGTAAGAGAAAGAAAAAACTTTGAACAGCAGGCTGACGGTAACCAAAACTCTGTGATAGCTTTAGCACTACAGCTCTTCCTAGTGTGTTTTTCTACGGCTTTGGAGTAATGAGCCTGTCGATAACTGTGCCCTAGCAAGAGCAGAAGCTGCCCTCAGCTGTGCAGCGGTACACAAGGCCTTCTTCTATCATGATGAATTATACTCCTGCTGGAATGTGAGCATGAAGGCTCCCGGAGCATCGCTACCACACCAGCCACTGTATTTCTAATTAAAAGTAGAGGAGAGCTTTTTGAACCTCTGCCAGCTCAGAGGATTAAGTCTATTTAAAGGGGGGAATTCAATAGAATGCCATACCTAGCTGTTTACCCAAGTGGAAAGTAATAAAGAAGATGTGCTTTGTGTACGTTTGCGCTTGGCTTAGTGGCTTTTCTTTTCTCAGGAGTACTACACTGGCTGAACTTTTGTCTACCTCAGGTTCACATTTGGTGCGGTGTGAATGAACCAAGATCTTATTCTGTAGGACTTCTGGATCCATGCATATTTATATAGTCTACATTGTTTCACTTCAGCTTTTATAGACTTATAGGTTGAATATAAACATGAATCAAAGGCTGTCATTGCTCAGGCAGATGTACACTACTGTGCAAAAGTCAGAGACCACCCTTCATGTATTTATCTTTTAGTGAAAACTGCCCTTGAGTACAAGTTATTCACTTTCAGCATGCCTTAGTACTTAATTGCTTAGTTTGTCCAGACTTTGCTTTAAGTTTTTCAAAGAAATCTGCAGGAATATTTTCCCACACCTCCAAAGTTCAGTCTTAGAAGTTGGTTGCATTTGCTTCTTCTCACAATCCAAGTAATGTTGCAGTCTGGGCTCTGTGGCCAGTCCATTGCTCTGAAAACACTAGTCTTCTCTAAAAGATGAAATCTTTTGAAAGTACTGTTTACCTAAAGGTGGCTGTTTTTGTGGTATGCACTCTCAGAAAAGATGGTTCTTCAAGGGTTCTTTAGTAAAAACAATGGTTCCACATAGAAGCATGCACACTTAGAGAACCATTTGCATGCTTAAGTGGTTCTTTGCATGGTGACAGTGTTGTTCAGATTAATGGGGAATGCGTTGTATTTAAACTCCAGCTTTGGAAACTCTTGTTAATTTCCCACATATTTTGACTTCCTTATGGAAACATCAAATCGCTTTGGTGATATCACCTGAAAAATAAATAAAATACCTAACAGCTGTTCTGACAAGAAATTAAATAAATGAATCATAGTCCCTGACTTTTGCACAACACTGTATAAAATGGTAATCTTTGCTATAAAAAGGATTAGTGTTAACCTGGTTAGCTTTGTTAGACTAACTGTTTTGTTGCCCTTCCATTGAAAGACCGTGTCTGAGCTTTTTGTTAGTGAAAACAAACTTTCAGATACAGCAAGCTGTTGCCATTGTAACACAACCTAATATGGTAACGTTATGGGAAAAGGGACAGGTCAAGACTGGCTATACTGTTACAACATATGAAAACATACTGAGCATTATTCTCAATACATCATACTTAGCAAAAGTATGGAAAACCCTCATAAAATGTCTATATGAATTACTTGAACATTGAGCATTGTCACTAAGTAGCATGACTTGAGAAGGACCTATCAATGATCCACAAAGGACCGATCTGCATAGACCTGCCTCCATAATGTTCAAGCTGTTCTATCACGGACAAAAAGAGCAATAACAAGCTCATTTTCCTTTAGCCGACTGACACCCTGTGATTTACTGGCATCATCAATAATGCAGCTGCATATGCAGCAGGACTGTTTCACTGTTCTTGGTGAGGGTTGCACCAAATAATGCATTACACATAGAGGAGAACCTACCAAGCCAATTTCAGCTTCATTAGAGTTTACAGGATGTTCTTATCTTAGAATTGATTGGTTCTTTGGTAATCTTTTCTTTTTTCTCTTAAGTGCAGTCTCTCTCTCTCTCTCTCTCTCTCTCTCTCTCTCTCTCTCTCTCTCTCTCTCTCTCTCTCTCTCATGTCCAGCATTAGTGATGATGGAAGATCTTGGCTGGGGCTGTGCAGGACCTTCCTGTTCTAGAATCTGAACTATTGTGCCTGAAATATTAATGGCCACATTATTACTTAATTTTGTTGTGACTTGGAGGGATTAATACCCATCCATTAAACACAGTTAATTCCTTCCCAGTCTAGGAGAAAGCCTGTGCCTACTGGATAGCAGAATTACATTAGATGCTGAATGATCTATGGCACCAGTGTGGCGGCTAGTGCTGTAAATTGATTTAGTGGCTGGAATTGACAGTGATGATTATGTGAGAGGTTGCTGACCGAGGCAAACATTTACTTTTAATGTGATATATTGTTATGCTCATCGCTGTTGGTGTACTGCTATTGTTAGGCAGACACATAACCCATGTACTGTATGTGGGATTGGCCCCAATAGGGGTGCATTTATTGAAAATGAGTTATGATGTCTGTAAAAGATATTTTTCTACGTTCACACTATGCTCAGAGCTTTTACCGCCTACAAACACAGGAAAAATAATGTGTTTTGTGCTTTGGGATGCAATGAAACAGACCCTTTAAAAATTCTGATGTGAACTTCAGTAAAAGTTCTGTAAGACATGCTGCACAACCCAACCCTTCTTCATTATATGTTCAGGCATGTTTAAGTTCTCTCAGGTACCATAACTGCTCGGCTGGTTTATTTAACATTAAAGGGCCCATATCCTACATTTTTCTTCTATTTTTGACTTTTTCCCCTGAGGTCTTGTGGTGCTCATGTAGTTTCATGTACCAAAACAATCAGAATGTATTTTTATATGATCATTTACATGATCTTTATTTCTAAGAATTGAACAGGCTGTTTTTGTTATTATGCCTAATATATGTGAATGAGCTCTGTTCAGATTGGCTGCCTTGTAATGTACCTCATTCAAAAATCTGCCCAGGCTGAAATGCTCTTTCTAACTTCAGTGTGAATGAAAAGACTAAACTGCTATAAACTGAGTAGATGGATTTATCTAAAAGTATTTGTTGTTCATGACATCATAAAATACTGAATGCAAAACTGGCTGTTTTTTACAGTTTAATTTGCATCTATGGACTGTATGGACTAGGGAATAATTGGTATGTTTTGAACCTTTAGCAATGTTTACATACTAC